AAAGTTCCTAGGGTTAGGCTTGATGAGAGACAGAACATTTTAGACATTCAAATAGGTTTCAGATAAATTTTTAGCAATTGCAACGATGAGCTGACGATTGCAGCCGCTATCTTTGGAAGAGTTTGTTGTCAAATTTTTCTTACATGGAAGAGGATCATCTTCACAAGGCATCTTCTCAATAGCTCCCAGAGTGACTTTTCACCCACCACCACTGTCAATGCCAAGTTTGATTAGTGGCTTGGTGAAGTCTTTTCGTGACAAAAGAACTTCATTTATCAGTTCTTGCAGATCTTTACAGTGAACTACAAGTTTCTTGCCAATAACTCCATTGTCTTGTTCAGGTAGAATATCTGTTTGATCAAAAAATCGGGCAAGTCAGTTTCCTAATGCAAAAAGTTCTGAGCGAATCTTTGGCTCAGTAATTCGGACTGCTGAAACTTGGTTCAAAGTTGTCGCTAACTTTTTCACGTTTGTGTTTGACAATCCAGTATTGATTTGCACGTAAACGAGATCCCCTGCAGTAACTAAGGATGTTGATCCAAAGAGTCTCCTTGCACTTGAAGGACCTTTAAGTAATTATTTTGGCAATTTTATTTAAATTTTACAAGTTGTCACTATTAAAGTAATTAACTTTTCTCAAGAATTAACCACATATTTTGGAAACTAATAAAATTATTACAAGAAATGTTTTGCATTGGAAACTAATAAAATTGAACAGATATAATCATACTACAATAAACTTATTTTTACCTGGGGTGACAGGCAAAGGTCGTCCACTTTTTGCTTGAGCCGGACGAATTTTTTCTTGAGGGGAAGCATCTGTGCCAGCTATTGCAGAAGCTGCAATTTGTTGAGCAATTGTGCTGTCATTTGATGCTAAAAGTCTCATATTTTCACGAAACTTAGCTTTAGTGCATACATGAGAAATTCTTTTCCCTAGAACCGAGAGGCATTTGGAACATCTGTGGTCAGAGGTTGAATTTTTATTCACATCTTTCTCTTTACATGTTGTCATTTTTCTGACTTTTTTAAGAGGATGGGATTCATTAAGCTTCAGATGCCCAACTTGACATATAATGCAATCACAGATCAGTCCGCTTCCTCGCTTGAAACTGATGGTTTCAAAGTCATAGAGTCTTAGCATGACAACCTCTTTTCCATCAAATTTTCTGCGCAGTATTGAACAACATCCTTCACAAATCCTATTTGGCGTTCATTCATCTTCAAAGTTAATCTTTTGTTCAAATAAGCTTGAAATTTCCTGTGCCACTGATAGTGAAATTGTCCTTATGCTTTTTTTCAAGCACAAGAAACACACAGATTTCCGGCAATCTGTGAGAGTTTTAGTTTGATTGGGCATTTTGAAAAACCAAATGATTCCAAAATTGTAAAAATGAGTGGCTTTTTGTTTTGATGTATTGAGAATAGCTCTTTCCCGTAATGTTAACACCAATAAAAAAAAAATCATTTTATGTAAGAAATACTGGTATGCTCTTTTTGCAAAGTCGTAAAAACAAAAAAAAAAAATGTTTTAGTGATGCAATAATAAAATTATCAATCACTTAAATTTTTTTGTATACTGTAAAAATGCAAAAAATAGTTATGCTGTCATTTGTCTAGTTGCTGTAAAATAATATTAATAAAAACTCATTTTATTTTCCGAGACGAAATAGTTGGATTTCAAATTTTATATTAATGTATTTTATACTTTTGAAATCCTGACATCAAGGGCTTTCATATGCACCCAGTCATTTCTCTGGGTCTGCTATATACAGTTATCATGAATTCTGGCTGGTGGTAAAACATTGGATGGGAAAATTGTTGGGAATATAGTGTAACATTCCTTTCGTTAAGCGATTAATTAAGGCAGATAAAATTATCAACAATGTCATTTTTATTTTAATGACAGTCTTTAAAAGAAGAGGCGATATATTTAGTTTTATGAGCTTTCTTTTGCCAACTGATTTTGAAATACCTAGCATGTTTGATAAATTGATAAAATGCGCTTAAAGTTAACACGCCAAAAAAAGAAATATAACAAAAACTTTGTTTTGATTTTATGCTAAAAGACAGAAGAGTCAGGTTGTTCTTAAGTAGAGATTTTCATTTCATCGATGATGGTCTCGGACGCCAAGGTTCAGCTGCTAACTTTCCATATTCTTCAGACCTAGTTGAGTTAAATTCTTTCAGAAACCATGCTTCTATACCTCACACATCTGCTAATTGTAACATTTTAAGGAAGACAATAAAATCTCTGAAAAGTGATTACAACGAGAACTTGTGTGAAGATAGACAAGATAAAAACTGAATAACTCTAGGTAAGCTTCATATTTCAATTATTGCTCCTGCGATTTTCTCCATAATAACTTACATAATGTAGTGCCACCTATTTTTGCATATTATGTTAGGAGATGTGTTAAAACTGTATTAGTTATTGTTGAAGTAATGCAAGACTTTTAATTGTCAAGCTGATTTGTATTTGTCTCATGATGAGAATGTGAGAACAAATGTATTGTGGGCTGCTAAAAGTGTTGAATGTTCTAAAACAACAGAGGCGTTGCGTTTATTTGGAAACCAATTTGTAGGTGTTGCGAATCTGCAGGCGCGTTGATAATCTTTTAATCTAATTAATTCTGAATGTATATCTCCAAACTCCTTTAATAAATAAAAAAAAATGTAAACAGCAAGAAATGTGTTTTACTTTTAGGTGTTTAATTACAAAGTATGATTGTAAGATTGATTATGTGCAATCTAGAAAAAATGGTTTCATCAATTTTATGAAACTATTAATGAATCAGAAAAGAGTATATTATGTGACATACAAAAGTACGAGTGTTTACCAAGTCGAGGTAAAGATGTAGAATATCTTGACTATTTTATTTCGAAAGAAATTTCTTTTATACGCGCACAACCTGAAGTTTTAGACGTTGAATATATTTAATTGCAAATAGAGTGTGAAGAATAAATATCCAAAAGTAGCATGGGGACTAAAAAGTTAATTATACCTATGCAATGCCTTCGCTCAGGTTAAAAAATGGAATATAAGTCTAGCTTCAAATGTATGTAAAAATGTAGCCTAATATTTTATTTTGTGATCAGAGCATATCGTATGTTTGTTGGATATGACCTTTTATGTTTGTGTAATTAATTACAATAAAAAGGTATTGCCCTTCATTATACGTAACATTTTTTTATATATTAGATTATAGTCCATTGGATTATTATCATTAGAAATTAGATCTTTCATCTAGTACCTCTGCTCTACATACCTTCTCTCTGGTTAAAGAATGGAATATAAGCCTATGTAAAAATTTAGTTTAATAAATTAAGACTTTGAAAACGTTACTGTCACAATTTTGAGTCAAACAATAGTTCTTCTGGTTTAGAATGAAGTAAAAATCTAGTATCAACTGAGTGTACATTGATAGTTTATTACTTAAAATTTTATCGAAGGACCAGTTGTTTATTAAACAGTTTTTTAAGAGAATAATAGCGAATTGTCAAAAGATTCAAATTAGCTATTTGCATATTAAAATAAACACTTTATATTTTATGAGATTCAAGTTTATGGATGTTATGGATTCAAGTACCATAAAATAATTCTACTACAACAAGCGAGGTAAATAAAAAAAACTTTAACACAATTTTGATTATAAACTCTTTTATTAGACTTGGCGACTCTTCATTTATTAATAACCTAACACCATATTATTAGAACTGTATCCACATAAAGAAATAAAATCCCTGAGTTTCTAAATGCTTGGGCTTTAATTGTTAGGATTAAATATTCCAAAATCGAAACCTGGCTTTATTTTGTAATGCAATGATCAGCTTAGTGTAATTCTTTTTTAAAACAAGAACTTCTTAAAAAACTCATTTAACTGCTAATCCTCTTTTTAACGACATTTTTCAAAATTATTCAAATATTGCGGTTTGTTTCCAGACTTCAATAGAATCTGTTTTAGTTAACACTTAACAATTAAGTAAGATTTTTTTATTTTTATAATAGACAAACAATGAGTGCATTTGATAATAACTATCAGAAATATATTTTTCTGATTTTTTTTTTTTTTTTTGATAAAAAGTAACATTAAATTACCAAAATTCAGCCAAGTTCATCATTTGTCGCTTTTATTCTAGAAGTTTCTTTACTAATGCATTAAATGACATAAGCTGAAACATTTTGTTGGTGTTTTTATTCTTTTTACAAGACAAAATTATCTCTTATATTTCAAAAGATATAAATGTTTTAGTAACACCGCTTTAGTAACAAGTCAATGTTTTCATAAAATAACAAGAAGCCGTAGAGCTTGGTTTAAAACAGCCGTGTCATTGACTCAAAATAGACTTAGGAGAAACTAAACATATCGTAACCATAGTATTATCTTGTTCTACCTACAAATGTAATAAATAAAATGTTCTCTCTAATATGTAAAATAAATACAAAAAAAAAAATTACATATAAATAAATACAATGTTCTATGTAATATAATATATTATATCAGATAAAACATTGTATTTTTTTTTTTTTTTTGGCATTCATATTATGTATTAGATACAACATTTTATTTATTAGATAGAATTTGCCAAAAAAAAAAACTTAATAAATAAAAATGTTTTTTAAAATTGAATGGACTTAACATAATGACAAGCGGCATTGGCTGGAATATTATTAGATAAAACGATAATATAAAAGAAAAACTGTTGAGTCCGATGTTAAAATTAACTTTAAAAAGTATTGTTCGGAAACTTGAAATACGCTTCTTTTTGTCATTATTCGGCTTTATAAAAGACCAAATACTTAGATGTTTCCTGAATTTGCAACTTGCTTTTTTCTATATTATCTATAATATATCTGATTTTTTAGGTTATTATCAGGCTTAATAAAAAAAAAATTTTTCTAGATTTTCATTGGCTGCTATAAACTCTGCAGTTTTATTTTTCTAGATTTTCATTGGCTGCTATAAACAGCTTTATTTTTAAATATGAATTCTATCAGCTTTAATTTTATAGTAAAAGTTTCAAAAATCCAAGTACAATATTTACTAATAGTATAAGGGTACCTAACAATAAAATAACTGTTGTAAAAGATGTTCGAACAGTTTCGTTTATGGGAAAGATCATTTGCATTAAAGCAAGAAGTGCTTGATTTCCATCCAATAAATAACATGGAACCATATTTAAAACAGATAACGCTAATGAAATTGAAACTGTATATATGCATAGTAACTGAAAATGTTCAGGTAAATTTATAACAGAAAATGAGTATTTTGGAACATAATTTGAAACTCGAATTGTTGATAACAGTTCAGCAGGGTCACCTACAAATAGAATATCTCTACCTTCTTTATAATTGATGCGAATGAGCTTTGTTGTATTGAATACCAAAGGTTTCACACAAAAACTCTCATATTTAAACAAACTTGTGCAAAAGGAACTGTCATTACATAACTGCTTGTGCTCAATTGTTAAACGAGCTGGAAGACACGCATAACTATAATGGTTTCGATAAGATTTTTCCAAAGTAGCTTCTGAAAGTTTTAAATTTTCAAATTGATTATTAATGTAAAAGAAACAAAATCTATACGAGGTTTTATCACAGCAATCTAAGTTTAGTGGGTTTAGAGTAGAAGATATGTTATGCAATCCAACAAAAGATTTTGAATTACAAAATCCATCTTGCGGAGATGTATTTATTTTATGAAGACATTCCATCCAATTCATTGAAGAATACGTAGGACAATTATTTAACGAATAAACAACATCACCTGGTCGAAGTTCATTTGCGATTGAAGAAGCCTGAAAAATATAACGATGCATACGACTATTTTGTTTCATTATACGCATGTTGTTGTTACTAAGTAACACGCAAAAACTTATTATTTGCTGCGTTTTTATATTATTATTTTATTATTCGATTTTAAAACAATATTAAATATTTAAGATAAAATGGAAACAAACCTTGTAAGTCCAAGTAACAACGACACCGCTACCAGTTAGGTAAATAGATGACAGTATATGTGGAATTAAAAAGGAAAATAACAGCATAAACATAGCCAATATAAAATTATGCCATACACCAGCACATACAATTCGCAGCTTACAAAAAGGTGATATATCTTCTACTTCTTCAGAATTTAATTCAACAAATGCACCAGGATAAATAAAAAATAAAAATAACCCAAAGCTGTTTACATTGACTCGTTCCCTGAAATAAAAATTGTTTTATTTAGTAAGCTTTTTCAAAAAATATTGTGTAAGTAAAACAACATTTTATCAAACCTTACAGCAGCTACAGCATGACCCAGCTCGTGAAAAATTCCAGCTAGAATGAGTGATATAAAATAATAAAGTGCTTCATTCCAAGGTAAATTCATACCAGGCATCTAAGTTTTAAAAATAAGGAAACTAAATCACATAAAATTCATGCTTTTAACAACAAAAAAATGATTATAAATAAAAATGAATATTATATATAAATAAAATGATTATAAATAAAAATGAATATTATATATAAATAAAATGATTATAAATAAATAAAAATAATAATTATAAGAACATAATAATTTTCAAAAATCAGGGAAAAAAATTCCAGATAACAATATCCCAATACCAATCAAAAAATATTTAAAAAATAATAATAATAAAAAAGAGAAGTAAAAAATAAGTTACGAAATAAAACAAACCGGCTTCAAATAAATCTAGCTTCATTTTTATAAAAGTTTTTTTAATTTAAATTGCCTAGAAATAAAAATGGTATTAAACTAAACCCAGCGGGCATTTGTTTTTAAAAGTTACGTTCTAAATGTATTTTAAATGTCTCTTAAACGTCTTTTAAACATTCTTACGCAAAAAGACATTTAAAAAACGTTTAAAAGACATTTAAAACGTAACTTTTAAAAACAAATACCCGTAGGGAATGTTTTTAAAGGCAAAACTTGATCATTTTTCTAACTTTTAGTGATAGCGGTACAACTTCAAAACACATGAACCAAAGTTGAAGTTTTGCACCATCCGCTTCTGAATTTTCATCTGCAACTGTGGATTTTATTGAGATTTTAATTTGATTATAAACAGATGTTTTAAACGTCAACTCAAAAAAATACTAGTAGTAAACAAAATATAATCGATCTTCCCAACAACTTTAAATTAGTATTTTATGTAACATTTGTACTAAATTACATATTGCATAATAATATATACACAGTGACGACAAAAGGTGATATGTACACAGTAGCGACAAAAGGTGATATGTAAGCAGTGGCGAAAAAAGGTTATATATACACAGTGGCGACAAAAGGTAATATATACACAGTAGCGACAAAAGGTGGTATAGACACAGTGGCGACAAAATAAATAACACACTTTCATAACCCAGTTGGTTTTATTTTTTTATACCAAGTTTTATGTTTTTACTGCAACTGCTTATATTTTTTATAGCATAAATAATATTGACTTTTTTGAACGGAACTACTCATTTGACATTTATAACTGTCGAAATTGCTTTTTTAATCATCTTAGCATTCGTGTTTACACTTTCGCGGTAAAATATCTGCTTTTTCTTTAAAAAAAAACCTAAACTCTTTTATTATGTTTAAAAAAAATCATTCTACTCAGCATTTTAAGGATATTCTTGTAATTGATTGAGCAAAATTCATCATCATTTACAGGCAAAATTCATCATCAACAACTATGGGACATGGTAAACATGGATGTCTTTCGAGGACAAGTATTGGTGATATTAGAGATAATTGAATGACTCTGAAATAACCTAAAGATTGAAAAAAAAAGTCATTAATGCTATTAATTTATTTAACAATACTGGTTCATTAAGCAATAGAAACTGACAGCACTGTTAAAATTTGCTTATGCAAAAATAAAAAATTTCGAAGGTTTGCCTAACAAAAACAATTGGTCTCAAAGCATAATCACACCAGTCGTTTGAAAATTGAAAAACAGTACATGCACAAGGACTTACGTTTTTAGAAATATGTGCTTTGGACTGACGAGTCTTAGTTTAATTGCTTTGGATCTAATGGAAAACATTATACTTTTAATCCCCAAAACCAAGAACTTAGCCCTCGGTATACTCTGGTAGACCTCAATAGACCATAAAACATGGTGGTGGCAATGTGATTGTTTAGTACAGTTTTTCATGGTGTAACTTGGGCCTGTTGAACAGAATTGGAGAATGAATTAACACATGGAGAATGAATTAATACATTTAAAATATTATAAGATATCATGGTGCCATATGTCAAAGAAAACACCGCTTTGGTTTGGAAGTTCCAACAAGACTGCAACACTAAGCACACCACACACCACCAAAACACCACACACCACCAAAAGTATTTGTATGATTTAACGCTAACAAGATTGTTGTTTTGGAGTTGTTGGTCACCAGACCTAAATTTAATAGAAAATTTAGGAATGCATTTAAAGAATTATAAATAAAACAAAATATATTTTAACTTAATGTAAAACACCTTCCCTTTTCCTTCATATTATTTTTTATTTAGAAATATGATAAAAATGCTTATATAATATAGAAAAGCCAATGAGAAAAATATAAATTATATATGAAGTAATGTAACTCCATATTCTAATATATAACTTAATTGAACCTTTGTCAGAAGTTCTGCCTAATAATTCAAAATCTTTTCATAGATGAGTATTTGACTTAATGAGAATCCCAGAATTTTTTTTTTTTTTTTGAAAATCCCAGAATATCCCGGTAGATTATTTTATTAAAAATTGATCGAATTAACAGACGACAAAAACTTTTGTAAACTTTAAACAGAATTTAGATTATTTAACTTTTTACAAAATGGATTTACTAATATTAGAAAAAGTTAATTTAACTTGAATTTAAAAGCAAAAAAAAAAAAAAAGTTGTTACAAAAATTGATCTCATGAAAATTTAAATTATAGAAAACATACTTGTTTAAATGCAAAAGATATCGTATTTAAAATTTTATGTAAAAATATATAATTTTTTTTTCAAATTAATAACAAAAAACATTCGGAAATTTCTGAAAAAGTAAAGGAATTTTCAAGCGAAATTCCGGAATTCTGGAAATTCTCGGAAAAAACTCATTTATGTTTTATAGGCCACAAGTTATCTGAACCATGGCTCAAAAGAGGGTATACAACTCAACTACCAAGATGTTAAGAACCATCTAGAAACAGGATTATTGTTACTTAAAAGTTTCATCAAAACACAGAGTGTTCTAAAATTTTTATAATCACCATAAAAGTTTTTGAACTTCTTAAATCCTAAAATTCAAATCTAAATGAATTTAAAGACACTAATTTTCAAGGATGATAAAATTTGAATGAAACAAAACACTTAACACTATGTAAATAAAAGTGGTTGCAATTGATTGAGTGGTTGAGTGCAAGTGTGGTTGGGTTTGATAGTCATATAGCAGAGATCGCAGATAAAAGTTGCGTCAACATTTGCAACGCTGCTTCAAAGACAAAAAAAAAAGATTCAAATAAAATGTTATTCAAGGCACAAAATGAAAAATATTAAAAGGCAGAGAACTTTTATTGAACATAACAAATATTAAAACTTTCAAAATAGAAAACATAAAAAGAAAAAATATTACCAGATAGCAAGAAAGAACTGCAACCTGTTCAATTTACCTATTCTGATGGAGGGCAACAAATGAAAATAATAAGTTTCTTTAATTTTCTTTGATACATTTCAAAACCCTTTTAGAAAACTTATTTTTGTTTATAATAGAGTACTATAAAACATTCTTAAATAAATAATTCTACATGATAAAGACTATGTTTGTTACTTTGGAAGCATCAGCAAAAATAGAGAGCAAGACCAAACACAAGAAAATTTCTATCTATTACAAAAAAATGATTTAGTGCTATTTGGAAACTTTAAAAAAATAATGATGTATCTAACAAGTTTTTTAAAAAATAAAAAAAAATTGATTCGCCAATAAACTTCAGCACGAGTAGTAAAGGTACTAGTGAAAAAAACAGGGTAGTAAACTAGATAACACTCCTTTTTGGAGCTATGTTGCTGCTAGAAATAATATTTCACAACATCTTATTGTAAACCAAATTTGTAGAAGATTTTTTACTACTTGGGATAATTCAATAAATTTCCTGGATGTTTTTATCCCTAATCTAAAAAAGAACATATTCTGATAAAAAAGAACAATTCTGATAAACAAAACATCCAAAAATTATGTTTTTATTTAGATAATCAAGAATATAAATCTATACTTGACACTGATGATGACAAAAAAAAAAGGGAAAGAGTCTGGATGAAAATGTTACTAAAACTATAAAACAGACTGGAAAAATGACATGCAGTAGTGGTGGTCCGAATTTGATCCCCACCAGAAAAATAAGATTCCTTTATGCATTGATATTTTATCAGAGTTGTTCTGATGGAAATGATGAAAAAATCAATACCAATAGAAAATAACAAGAAGACATACAACCAAGACATACATTAAGGCTTCACCAAAAACAACAATGTCACCAAAAAAGGCCTGCCAATTACAATTGAAAATATGATTGAAAAAAGTGCAACCATAGAATGAAGAAGTGCAACAAAAAAAAGGACGATTGAGTAAAGTGGTATTTAACAAAAACACATAAAAAGATTCAGACTTGATTTTACCTTAATATTAGACATTAAGATTAGACATTAATAAATTTATTTATGCCCAAGCTAAATATGCAACTGTTATAAACCAAAATATTTATATTTATATTAGTCTCACAAAGAGAAAATAAAATTTGTCAACAGGTAAAACCCAAGTGAAGAAAATCTGATGGTGACTTTTTCAAAAAATTTAAAATTTTTAAATTTTTTGAAACTAGATATATTGATTTAAATTAAATCTTTATTTTATTTTTATTTTTAGTTATTTATTTTATATTTAGTTATTCAGTTGCACTGTCATTGAAATTAATGCTAGGCCAGGTCATCAGTTTCACTGTCTTTGATATTATTGCTAGGTCAGTATTAGGATCATCACGATCGTTCTGATGGTGGCAACTAATCCAGTACAACCTGCTTCATTGTTCTTTGTAGCTCTTGGTTAGGTAAAGGCTAGAGATGATGTCTAATAGAAAATACTTATCTAGGGAATAGATTAACTGCATCAAGCTAACGACTCGCAATAAGCCTCATATATATAGACTAGTGAACAGAAGGTGAACAGAAAATCTCTGTTAACCAGCCTCATACCTCTTCATTACTTAATAAGCTAGCAAGAAAGAAAACCTGTGTTACATTACTTCTTGCCTAGGATGATAAGTGCTGGAACTTCTTGACTCATAAGTTATTGCTAGTAGCGTTTTGATAGCGGCTATATAAACTTTTCTGTTATCACCTAATCAAGGGTCAGCT